TGCGGACGTGAAGGAAGTTGCGGATCGATTGGCATCGACTACATGCGGGCGTGGCTTTTTTTAGGGAATCCCTAAAATTGTGGTTTTCACTAACCCCGCAAGACAAGCCAGTGACACTTGTCAGCTATCGCTGCTGCCTCCTTGGCAGTCCCCTTTTTTGTTGGGCTGAAAAGGACAAGGAAGCCAAAGAAAAACTTGGTCTCCCCTATTTTTGACACCCCGAACAAACATGTCCACCCAAAACGAGTTGCGCGCACCTGTGTCCCAGTCATTTTCTCGCCTCCAGTGAGTCCAACATGCCCTTGCGGGTGTGCTTGGGCTGCTCCTCCACGGGCAGCAGTCGAATTCGGATCAGCGCCGCCACCTGCGGACGTGAAGGAAGTTGCGGATCGCTTGGCATCGACGGCATCGACTACATGCGGGCGTGGCTTATATAGGGAATCCCCAAAATGGTGTTTTTCACTAACCGCAAAAGACAAGCCAATGACGCTTGTCAGCTATCGCTGCTGCCTCCTCGGCAGTCCCCTTTTTTGTTGGGCTGAAAAGGAAGCCAAAGGAAAACTGGGCCTCCCCTATTTTTGACACCCCAAACAACAATTCCCACCCAAAACGAGTTGCGCACGCCTGTGTCCCAGTCGTTTTCTCGCCTCCAGTGAGTCCAACATGCCCTTGCGGGTGTGCTTGGGCTGCTCCTCCACGGGCAGCAGTCGAATTCGGATCAGCGCCGCCACCTGCGGACGCGAAGGAAGTTGCGGATCGATTGGCCTCGGCTACATGCGGGCGTGGCTTATTTGGGGAATCCCCAAAATGGTGGTTCTCACTAACGCCAAAAGACAAGCCAATGACACTTGTCAGCTATCGCTGCTGCCTCCTCGACAGTCCCCTTTTTTGTTGGGCTGAAAAGCTCAAGGAAAACTGGGTTTCCCCCATTTTTGACACCCCGAACAAAAATGTCCACCCAAAACGAGTTGCGTGCACCTGTGTCCCAGTCTTTTTCTCGCCTCCAGTGGGTCCAACATGCCCTTGCGATTCTGCTTGGGCTGCTCCTGCACGGGCAGCAGTCGAATTCGGATCAGCGCCGCCACCTGCGGACGCGAAGGAAGTTGCGGATCGATTGGCATCGACTACATGCGGGCTTGGCATTTTTAGGGAATCCACAAAATGGTGGTTTTCACTAACCCCAAAAGACAAGCCAGTGACACTTGTCAGCTATCGCTGCTGCCTCCTGGGCGGTCTTCCACTTGGCGAGCTGCGACAAGCGCTTCTGACCCGCCCGCATCGAGGTGCGAACGATCTTCAAGCGCAGCTGTCCTAACGGTTCTAACGCCAATGCGCCCTTGCTGCCACTAGTTTCCGGGAAGTGGATGAGCCCTCGCCAGTTTCTTTCCGATGTACCAAAAAACGGAGGAAAATGGAGAAGTGTGGAAAGGAACTCCCGCCCTTCTATAAAAGCCTGCCGCCGAGGCGCTCAGCTTCCCACATCCAATCTCGTCGTTGCCACACGTCTTGCCTCGGGTGGCCCGAATTCTAGTCTGCAACCACCATTTCTGCAGCGGAAACCCAGCTAAAAGGACAAGGTCGTGGGTGCCGCGCGCTGGTGTGTCCTTTTTGGGACCCCCCCGCTTTAGTTTGCTCTAACAGGAAGTCAAAAGAAAACCAATCATATTGGGGTTCCCTCGTTTAGAGACAAAGCCAACTGAAGATGAATGCTGCAAAACGCACGGACCACCGACGAACTCATACCATGTTTACTGACCTTGTTGGATGATGCCCATTGCCCATGTGTCACGCCAAGCCGCTCGGCCCACGTCCAGTCTCGTGCCTGCCATGCGTCTTGCCTTGGATGGCCCGAATTCTCAGCTGCCCTTCTCCTAGTCTGTTTTTCGAAGACCGCTCATTCAAGTGGAAACCAACCATTATTAGGGCCCCTCGCCCATTTAGAGACAAACCCGCTTCAAGATGAAACAACAGGTGGCTGAAAAGCGCACTTTGAGCGTCGACTTCGTGGCATGTTTACCTTGCTGGATAATGGGCCGGGGAAAAAATTGGAACCCTCCTCCCCCCGCGCCCCCCACACCCGGGTTTTGGGTGGGCGCCGCCCTCGCGTCACCTCTTTCAAACAAATTAAGATTTTGGTACAGTGTCTGCTCGCACGCCGAGCCGCGCAGCCCATGTCCAGCCTTGTCCCTGCCATGCGTCTTGCCTTGGTAGGGGCAACGAAACCGCCCCTTTCCCAATGTGCCCAAATTCGAAACTCGTGGGGCCCCGTGTCTTTGCAGGTGTCCATGGCTATCCAAGCTATCCAAAAACACACTTCACGGGCGGAACAGCTGGCTAATGTGATTTTCTTTGCGTTGCGAAAGGCGAATCCCTGGCACGCTGAATTAAAGAGAGTAGATCCCCAACCCAGAATTGGTTCCGGCGTTGGGCTCGCTCTGCGTCGCCGGCCACGCCCTGGCCATCTTTAGGACCAACCCGTGGGCCCACAGCTTTAAGGAACTTCAGCGACCCTTCAGGAAAACCATGGGAACTCTGTACCCAGCCCTTTCCAGGCCCCAGGCCAAACAACATTTTGGGTCCGTCGGATTTAGAGGGGCCCGTGGCCCCAAAGGCAAGCGACGGAGCCATGGAGGGCGCCTTTTCCTGGGTCCACTAAAGTGACATGGACACGGACTCTGAATTCTGAATGGGTTTGCTTTTGTTTAATGGAAAGCCAAAAGAACATTTTCTTGAGCATCACCTGAATAGGAAACCTATGCGTAGGACACGCCCGCCTGGAGTTTGATTTTGTTTGAGCTCAAGTACCCTCGGTGGAATTTCGGGGGGCAGCAGTCGACTGGGGAGAGTATGTGAATGTGGCACACCAGCGTGGCCCGCCTTTGTAAGTAGAAAGGATCGGCCTGTTTGTTTGGTGTGCCAGGACCCGATGAAGTGGCTGACGTTCTCGTACCGGTGGCTCTTGCGGTACTCCAGCAGCTGTCCTCACACAGCGGGTGATGCGTGGTGTGATCTGTCAGATTCAGTGAAGCAAGAGCGAGAAAACCGACTCCAACCAAAAAGCAAGCTACATGGCTGGTGCAGTGGAAGATCTGGGATCAAATAAGTTGACACTCTGCCAACTCCACAACTGAGAAGCTTCAGAATGAGACAGAACAGGCAGAAAGCCAGCAGATCGCCACCCGAAAAAGCTGATGCGAGCCAGCGTCTGACGAGCTTGCCCACGAGCTCATGGCCATACGCCCGGCCATTCGGCGATGGGTGTTGCAGCACGCTAGCCACCATCTCAGCAAAAAGCACGTGGCGATGTCTCACGATCCAATGGAGCTACTTGCCCCTTCTCTCTTTTTTTGGGGGGGGGGGCCTAAAATAAAAACACCCATGTGTTAAGACCAATGAGGCGCTGGGCTCCTAACAGGCATCTCCTCCAAAATGAGGTTTTGCTTTGGAGGGAATATGAAAAGCAGAATCGTGGGAAATCCCCTAGCTTTGGTGTACAGAGTTGGGCTTCCCCAAATGGGGTGTGTTTTAAGGCTTATAAGGGCATCCTTTCTTTCAAGTTGGTTTTAAAAGGACACCAAACCGCATCGATCGTGCTGCGAGTCCAAGGCGCGACCCAGGACGGCATGTCCACGCGGCACCTCCCCAGGCACCACGCCAGGTCTGGCGCCAGAGCGGTCACACGCAGGAACACCTCAGAGGGCAGCGTGGCGTTGCGCCACACGGAGGCAAGCAAACTAGCAAATCCCCCGATTCAGACAGGGCGCCATGGCTTCTGGCTCATCGCACGCCCCATCCAGCCACTGCTCGTACGGCGACTCCTCCTCTGGCAGCTTCGGCAGCTTCGGAGGGTCTCGGTCACGCAATGGCAAGACTCTGGGCCTTCAAACTCCGGGAAAATTTCTGGGTGTTTTAGGAGACCCCTACAATCTGCCGAACTCCAGTGGTTTAGCTACAATCTGGGCATAAGCACACACGCGTGGCGTCGCTGGCCATGCAAAATCATTACACCTCGCGCGCCAGTGAACCCCATTGGATGCCCTGATCATCAAACTACGACTTGTTCGAATTTGTGGGAGCTTGCGGGGCTCAGCCAGGAAACGGATTTACGTTCAGGCCTCCTTCCCTTGAAAAAGCTGCACGTGGCCCGCAAACATGCCAATGGCAATGGGAACAAAGCACGCTAATATGGCCAGGTCGCCGCCGTCCTGGCTCCTGTCACGGTTAGGCCACAGCGCAGACATCATCTGACTCCACGAGGACTTCGCCGCATCCCGCATGGCCAGTGCGCGGACCCGCGCGCGCTGCTCTGCCGGCGTGATCGCCGCCTTGATCAGGCTGCGACCATCCGCCATCACGGGGTGAGCACACGCAGTCTGACTTAGCAGGCTGCTGTCTGACTTTGAGCTACTGTCTGACTTTGAGCTGCTGTCTGGCTTTGAGCTGCTGTCTGGCTCTGAGCTGCTGTCTGGCTTTTGGGCCGCACAGCAACACGCGAACGGAACTGATGTAATGTGAACTCTTGGGGCTCGAGCGTGTTTGCCTCCTCAGGTGAACCATGAGTGGACACCAAGCTTCGAAAAGAACAACCCTACAAGCGCCCTGCGCTGCGAGAAAAACAAGCGGGCGGGCTCTCAAGCTAGGGGAATGGACTGCGATGTTGCCGGTTGAATGTTTCCATACAATACCAACCAATACCTTTAAATGGGCTAGTCATGTGCTTTTTGATTCCTCTTTGTAGACAAGTAAGCGTTGTAAGAAAAGTAGTAACCCGTTACATTACATTACATTACATTACATTACATTGCATTGCATTGCATTGCACTACATTGCATTACATTGCGTCACATGACATCACATCACATCACATTACATTACATCACATACACACATGAACCTCCAAGCCAAGACGCGGGTTTCCACTAGGTTTCTTTTGAAGTCGTGCCCAAAGGGGTTGCGAGACCGCCTCAAACAGCTGTCCAAAGATTCTGCGGCCAGGGATCGACATGGGGATCCTCCGCAAAGCGGTCCGCAGTACGGTCTTGGCCCTTGGGCAGCACCATAACGTTGCCCAAGATCACGCGGCACAGCAGCATGATCTTGCAGTTGTCCTCCTGCATTTGGAAGGGCCCAACCTTGCAATCCTCGGTTGTCCTCTGTTTCCGACTTGCTTTTGTCGTCGCTTCGTTGGCCGGTGGGGACAAAAATATCGGGCGGTGATAGGAACCGCTTTCTGAAGGAAACCCAGTGGGGTGGCCCACAGGTCCCTACCGGTCCCTACCCCTACCCCGTCTCTCAGACTCGCGGCTCCGTGCGGCCCTTGGCATACTGGTTGCTCTTCTTGGCGTCGTCGGCGAAGTAGACCCCGGTGCCGAAGCACCCCTCACTGCTGGGGAGGAAGCTACTCCTCGGGGTCCCTATGCACCCCAGTCTTCCCGAGAAGGAGAACCCTGGAAACAAGATCTGTGTCGTGTTCTTTGCTTTTGTTGTTCTTTGTTGTTTGTTTGTTGTTGTTTTGCTTCTGCTTCTTTTTTGGGCAGGGGCCAGCCAGATTGCCTGCTTGGATCACCTAAAGCTCTCCATTTTTCCGGCTAGCAACCCACTTTTGCTGGTTGATGGAAATTCCCCAAAAGACAGGTAACGGGCTGCCTTACTGTAGATGATCTTAACACAAAATTCCATAGCATGCCATGTCGCAAGTCATTTTAGTCGGTTGACTCGGGCATGTCCAGAAATAGGAAATCCCATGGATCGTCTCCTTTTTGCTTCCCTTTGACACCCATTCAAAAAGGGGGGGGGGGTCCAAACCCTTAAACACCTGAAACTTCTAATCCCCAGCTTTTCACGCATACCCGCGTGCTTTTTGTTTTAGTGTAAGACCGACCTGTAGCGAACTTAGGCTTCAGAGAAAAAACCTTGGCATCCGCTTGGAAACCCCAATTCAACCAAGCCCGGTATCAAATCCACAAAAAGTCCCTGCCCTTGTTTGCCACCAAAATTCGTCGCAATCAAGTATGCGAACATTAACAGGCAGATCTCCGCACCTATTTCTTACTCACCACCTTCATCTACCCGGTTTTGATCATGGCTCAAGTGGTCCACACCCAGAACGTGCCAACTTGTCCAACTCATGGGTTTTGCTCTAGCGTCACTCCATCCAAACACGTGCCTCGAAAAACACCTCGACACCAAGCCCGCGCGTGTCGGAGCTCTTTGGATTTAAAAAAAAAATGCTGGGCTTCTTTGGGTTTCCTCAAGAGCCACCGTTTTAGGGGTCCAAAAAGACGCGCCAATGTGGCTTTCGTGGAAAAAATGAAGGCAGCACGAGGGACTCGTGACTTGTCAGGTTCCGCCGTGCCCTTTGTGCAAACAAAATGCACACGCCGGCAATAGTGGCGTGAGGACACGTCAACCAAGCAATGGGAAGCAAAGACGCCTGCAGAAAAGCCATTTTTTAATGGTGTCTTCTTCTTTTTAAATGTTCATGTTTGTTGTTTGTTTGGGGGGGGACCTTCCACCTAAAAAGGCTCCAAACAAAAAAACCTGCGGCCGGCATCTTTCTTCGGCCCCTCACCCGCCCCAGACCCCCAGACGCATCCCGGGCTCCGGGAGATGGCCTTGGCGGCCTCCTCCGAGGTGCCTGACGTGCGGGGAGGCTCACCCAAGGTGCAGGCTGCGATGGAGCTGTTAGGCTTGGACAAGACCCGCAGAAACGGGCCATCCAGTCCAAGAGGTTGGCGTTTGGGAAAAAGATCCGGACTTGTTGCGGTCTCCACGGCACGGCCGTGAACAGTACCGGTGGTACCTGTAAGTTTCATGGAAAAGGCCCGGCTTCGTTGTCCAAAAGGGCGAGAAAAACGGGCGATCAAGTCCAAGAAGAGAAACCGGCGATCCAGTCAAAGCTGTCAAGAGAACTTGATTGGCGTTTGTGGTTGGATGTGGTTGGCACTTGGAAGGGAACTCAAATTAAAACAACAAAAGGAGAAGTATGACGACAATTGTGGGGGGGGTCCTCCTATGTCCTCAACATGTTGTGGAAATGCCTTCCAAGCCATGAACTCATGCAATGGCCTACGTGGTCGTTTGCCACAACCTGCCTTGAGCGGGGCGCCTGGCAAACAATGGGCTTGCAAAATCGTTCGGTTTTTGGGAGGTTGATGGGAAACCCATCCCGAAGCCACCCCTCCTAAACTAAGGGATTCCTCAAAAGTGGCCTACTAGTGTTTATGTCCGGCTACCCTTGCACATTCTGCGTATTTCGTAATTTTGGGCCACAAGCTCCCCAAACGCATCCTCAGGCACAGTGGGCAACAACCAGTGGCATTCCAAACGGCGCTCCCGCATGGGAATCGCCTGAAAGTAGTAGAAACTTCAAGTATGCCCCGGGATAATTGCCAAGTGAGCAGCGCCCAAAACCCATTCAATCCTGGTTCTACTGAGATGTCTGCTTGGTTGCACCCCTCTGCACGAAACTTTACTTTTGCTGGTTCAGCTTTACTTTTGCGGGCTCAATGGAAAACCTCAAGCAAAAAGTTAAAGTCTAAAGATCCAACCCAACAGCAATCAAGCTTGTAAAGGCCACTTTCGCAGCCTTGCACGAGTTCTCCGGCCAAACATCTCCCCGGACCAATCCACAATTCAAGGGCTGACCGAGGGTTTTGGGCGCAGTCCGATTTCCCGATTTCCCTATGGAACAAGGCACCGTGCAGTAGCCAAACCTCATTCACCCCATGATCCAGCGTGGTGTTGGCGGAAAACTGAATGCTCTCCGCCGTTTCCTGAGTGAAAAGCAGAAAGAAGCCGCGCGTGACACCCAAACAAATCATGGCAGGAGGGCCTCGTGGAAGAAAATAGGCTCAGCCTTCTTTTTCCCGGAAAGGAAGAAGATGATGTGACAAGGATCAGAACTCGAATTCCAAGCTGGCAAGATTCTGGTCGCCTGCAAGCTTCCTATGACCAATTGGCAAGAGGCCACAGCAGGGCACTCAAAGCCGACCGGACTGGGCCACAAGGCGATGAAAACCAGCGAAGCCGCAGGTCCCCTGTGCATTTTTTCTTGGCTCATGACTCATTACCAACTTGCCTCACTTGCCCTATCGGGAATTTTGGGCAAACCAAAGCAAGCCACTCCCTGAGAGCCATCAAGCTGAAACGCGGGTCTCGGCGAGCGAATTTGCCAAGAAACCGGTTGGATGTCCGCCTTGCGGACTCCTCTCTCGCGGATCCTGGGCTTTCTGCGCACCTCCCGCCGGAACCGCCCACAAAATTGAAAGCGAAGAAGGGCCCCACAAAGACGTGGCTCAGGTGACCCGTCGGACAGATCCCTTTTGCAGATCCTCGTGGCCCACCGTGGGCCCCAGATGGCCCGACCGTAAGATGGCTACCAAACATGGAGTAGGAAAGTTTGCCGTTCAGAAGCGGGCGCGCATCATGCTAAATGGCAGGAGGGTACAAGCACCCACCAGCTGGTTGACTGCTGGTAGCACGCCAGGAGGTTCAAGGTTTTGATACAAATGCAGAGGCAAAATATGCCTGTCGCATATGTGCGTGTGAGTGTATAGCCAAGCAAAAGCTTTCCACCGAATGGGTTCAGCTAGGGGGTCAAGGGCGTAGTGGTCCAAAATGCCGTTTTGGGAACGGAATGTGCACTCTTACGGGATTCAGCACAAGTGTCTCGCCAAATGGGATAACCCATCCCCGCCCCGTTGGCCCTAGACACGTTTGCCCCTTGTGGCAACGGTGAAAATTGTGGTTTCAAAACGTGTGTCTCTATTGCGTGGCAACCCCCCAACCCCAAAAGAAGATCTACAACAGAACAAAAAGGCGGTTTACCACCTCCCAAGGCCCACCTATATACAAATATATATATATAATATATATATATATATATATATGTATTGTGTGTGTGTGTTTTTGAGGGTACTGCTCTTGCGGTTGCCTCTAAGGGACGCCAAAATGAACCCAGCTTTGGGCGCACCCTTTAAGACACACCCATACATGTGTGTGTGTGTGTGTGTGTGTGGTTTGGCCGCAGCGCTGGGCCCTCTTGGCGGTGTATTTGTCCCAGAGCACCGCGTCCTCGATCCGTTCGCAGCGCAGCACCCGCCACTCCGGCAGGCGCCGCCGCAGGATCTTGGTGCCCATCCTCGGAGAAAGAGATAGATGTCAAACCCCACAAAAAATAGCGTCTGGCGGATCAGAGTGTTGTTTTTGCACAAATGCACTGGGTCAAACCCCACAACGAGTCTAGCGGACAAGACCCAAGCAAAAACCGCGGCCAGAAATACCTTTTGGAGGAAACCTGCAAACCATTCAAACCACCGTTCGAGCAAGGTCTCCCGTGTGGCTTGGGGATTTGAACACCCTGGTTCTTGTGGAGGGGAAAGGGGGAACCACCCTAACCTCCAAACCACCAGTCCAGGCCGCTGAAACTACTGGTTCAAATGTTAAGGCTGTTTGTGACTATTTGTTAGCCATCAAACCAAAGGCTAACCAAGCGCTTGCTGCAAATCATGAGCACCCACTACACATGAGTTGCCCTGCCACCAAGTGAAACCAATACAGGGTGGACCCAGACATGAATTCGAGGCTTGGGATCCCTCAAATGGTGGAGGATGATTTTGGTGACCCTCAAGCAAAAGTGATTACTCGTTGGGTGGTTCTCTGCCTCTATCTCTCTCCTCTCTCTCTCCACTCTCTCTCTCTCTCTCTCTCTCTTTCTCTCTCTCTCTCTCTCTCTCTCATTATCTCTAGTTTTACCCAATCTCTGCAAGAGAGGTTGAAACCGTCGGCTTCCGCTTGGGCTTCTGCGCCATCCAAAAAACATTCCCGTCGCTTGCCGAGCCTTTGCCAAGGCTCTCTTTGACGTATTCGCCCCCGACTTCTTCGTGGAAGCTGCCAGGCCACTCTGCGGCGGCCTTCCAATACCAAGGCGGACACACGGCGTCGTTTGCGCCTCATGTGCTGGCCGCCCCCTGGAAGACACGGCCCGGACTTAGAACCCCCCCCACCCCGTTTTTGGGGACGCAACAAGAAGCTAGCCTACGTCTGGCAATGTGAAAACCGTCCGAAATCAAAGAGCCTAAGAATGGGTTTCCTGTCAAGCAATGTTTGGGGGGTTCGGCAGCCAAGCACGCGTTCCTGCGCCTTGGGCTTAGCTGGCCTGGCATTCGGCATCAAGGAAAGGGGGCCCAAACGCGCGTTTCAATCAAGATGGGAACGATATGAACTTCCTGGCTGTTCAAGATGGGGGCGAAGGGCCAATAGCATCGGCTGACAAAAGGTAAGGCTTCACGCTTTTGATTTGAACAAGTGAACCGACATGAACTGCATCTCAGTTGCGGATGTCACAATCAATGTCGTGGCCGCAGTAGCCATGCTTCTCTTTCAAAAATGCCTCCGCTCAAGAAAAGGCAGCTGCACTCAGCTTTCCAATGCGCACTTCTTCCATGCTGCCCAAATGCAAGCAGGGCGCGCAACTTTTGCAGCAAGTGGTGAAAACCTGGCATGGTGGCGCACAACAAAAGACTTTCTCACAATGAAACATATGAAAACCACATATGCATGATCTGGACTTTCGCATGGCACGACGCCACACGCGCACAGCTGAGGCTGCAACTCTTCCGTCAGCACCTTTGCCGCATTCCCGGCCGCAAGCATTTCTACATAGCACGGACGCCGCCATGAAGCAAGCCACGGCCACCAGATGCTGGTGGGCAACATTGTCTGCAATATGCCAAGGATTTGCTGCTGCATGATTTCATAGCCATTGGTCCAAACTTGTAGGGATAGTAGGTTTGATTGGATGAAACGCGGGTGTTGCTTGGTTTTCTCATCAAAAGAAAACTGTGTATCACGCCTTCTACGGCAGGTTTTCGCGGCAACTTTCTGCTAGTGGCTTTTTGGCGTGCGCCGAAAGCAAAAGGCTGAAGGGCAAAATTGCAATAGTGTGCTGGAACCTGACAACAACATCTGGCGGCTTCCCAAACAACAGGTTGTTGATTTCCGCATGCACCTTTTCTTGCGTTAGCCTCACATTGCCCGCAACCCCCCGGCAAGCGTCGCTGATGAAGGCGGGGCAGAGAAGGAGTAGCACAAAGCCGGGAACGACACTCAACTACCCGGCAAGGGGGGGCGCTGGGGAGAGGCGCGTCGCCAGGGCCAAGAGCGTTGACCACCGCCGCAAGGGGACGTAGCGAGGGGCACAAAGCAACCGGACGCGCCGGGGGCAAGGCGTTGCGGGCCAAGGCCCGCTTTGCGCTGACGCGCAAACTCCAGAATGGCACCGTCGAGCACGAGCGCGGTGTTGCACGCGCGCGACGCGACCAGACCTGCTCCAGCTGCTGCAGGAAAGGGGCACGCCGGCAAGAAAGCTGCGAGGGCGCGCTGGCGGAATGCCGAGGGTGTCGAGGGCTGCCGCCGCGGTGCGACTTGCCAGTGGCTGGGCATGTGCCAATGTTCTATGTGTGTGGTCACCTTGCGGCCTCCAATCCGAAGAAGCAACTGGACATTTTAGGATGAAGAGGGCGTGGGGATCCGCCGATGCAAGACATGAACGTAGGCCGGAGGCAGGGTTGAGGCTTTCCGAAGACGTGCTGCGCAAAGGCGTACGGGACCGGCCGTTTGTCTGAAACTGCTCGCAATCGAGGTTGCTATTTGCCTTCGGAGGCCCGGCTGTAGCTTCTGGAGATTCTATGCTGAGGAAAGACTCAGCGGATTGACGGAAACACCACGTAGTTATGTTTCAGTAAGTGAGTTTACAGTTCACATACAGGTCACACCTGCCCCTCCGTGGGGCATCATGGATTAGCTTTTGGAACAGACTATAGTCCAGCTGGTGTTCACCATCCAGTACCAGGGATGGCTGTACCAGGTCAATTTCTCAGTTCATCATGGAAACAAACTGCGCTGGGAGTTGCATTCTGGTGGTTACTAAAAAGCTATTGCTGTGAACATAATTACAGACTTGACCTTCTACATGATGAGGTACCTCCATGTTCGATTATTACCTCATCCCACTTTTCATTTCAATTCAACATAGTTGTCCATCATACCCTCCCGAAACAGCCCAGTCACAGCGTCCATGCCACCGCCACAGCAACCACCAATGTGTGAACCTGGCTGCTGCGCGCATGGAGATCTTGAAAACAAGTCGTGGAGCGAGAGGGCCAGTTTGATATCCATCATTGCAAATCGTTCGCCTCCCGAATCGGCTAAGAAATCAAGGCCAGGATTCACCACGAAAGCACATGCCACCCATGACATCCATACTTCGATATCAGGATCTGCTGAAGCGCTGGTGACGTTCATGGTGAGTGCCATCTTCCAGCTGTCCAGCTTCGTGATCTTCGGCCATGGAGGTACGTTGACTTTCTCAGCCTCTATCCTCCTTGGTCGACCACTGTCATGATCTCTGCGATCTCTCGACCTTCTTCTTCGTCATGATCTCCTGTTGCGACGACGATCATCATCATCATCATCATCATCATCATCATCATCATCATCATCATCATCATCGGATGGTTCCTCTTCGTCGTCCTCGTCTCCATCATCATCGTCGTCAGGTGGATCAGGTGGACTTGGCCCTCCTGCTGCGGTTGGGACAAGAGCACGTCCTAGACTAGACCCCCCGCGTTTCCATCTGTATTGTGATAACCGAGACCAGGTGGACCGCCATCTCCGTGACCACCGCCACCTCCGTTGCCACCTCCGCCAAGCTAAATCACACGGGTGACCCCAGCTCATTCTCGCTGCTTTCCTGGAGCCAAATCCCACCGGCGCGCTGCTTTCCTGGAGCCAAATCCGAACGACCGCGCCTCGTGATCGCTGCGCCTCTGTGGGCCAAATCCCACCGGCACGCGGCCTCCAGCACCTCCCGTCACCTCGGCGCTGGCTGCATCCGCAGAAGCAAATCCCACCGGAACACGCCGCCGTCACCTCCATCCTTGCTGCCTCCGCCAAGCGAAATCCCACCGGCACACGGATGACCCCAGCTCATTCTCGCTGCTTTCCGAGCCAAATCCCACCGGCACACGAACGACCGCGCCACGTTATCGCTGCGCCTCTGTGACCAAATCCCTCTGGCACGCGGCCTCCAACGCACCTCCCGTCACCTTGGCGCTGGTTGCATTTGCAGAAGTAAATCCACCGTCACCTCCATCCTTGCCGAATCCGCCACGCCAAATCCCACCTGCATAACGGACGACCGCGCCTCGTTATCGCTCTGTGGACCAAATCCCACCGGCACGTGGCCTCCAGCACCTCCCGTCACCTCGGCGCTGCTTGCAATTCAGCCGGCACGGTCGTCCCGGCAATTCAGCCGGCAAGCCGCCCGTTTCCCCGCCAGCGGCGCTTGCACGGTATGCTGCAAACTCGGCACACTTGAAGCCCGACCACCTGCGGTATGCGGTAAACTCGGCAAAACTCGGCACACTTGAGACCGGTCACGTTCTTGGCGGCGCTTTCGCGGTATGCTGCAAACTCGGCCCTGCGGTATGCGGTAAACTCGGCACACTTGAGACCGGTCCCGTTCTTGCCGGCAATTCAGCCGGCAGGCCGCTGTTCAGCCATTTCCCGGCCAGTGGCGTTTACACGGCATGCTGCAAACATGGTACACTTCAGGCCGAACCCCTGCCTTAGACAACTAAACGCAAAGCCAACCCCAGAAGGGTTTTTTGGGAGGAAAAAGCAATATACGAAAATTCACAGTTCATATTGTGCAAAAGGGTACTATAACCGATGAGAGAAGGAGAGTGGAGCATTCACAATCATCACCATGTAGGGTTTCCATGAAGCAACCACCGAGAGCAACCAAGATTTGCCATGTTTGCGAGTAACTCGTCAAATGCTGCGGCTGCAAAGGATAGCTGCAATCAATAGCAAAGCTGAACAGCAGGAAGGGAGCTCTTCCCATTTTGCAAAACCAAACCTCCGCTCCTGGTCATCTGTTGACAATACATTCTGAACGCAAATGTCAACATACAACAATGACCCCTTTTTTCGGACGTTGGAAGGGGACGAGTGAGCGTAACCAATTTGCTATCAAACTTTGGGATGGACATGGACGCTGGGTGTTGACCTACAACCACATCTCTTGCTTTGACTAGGTGACTAGGCACAAGTCGCCATCTCATCATGTTCGAATTATTGCTGGTTATGTCACTATCATTAAGCATAACCACCCAGACCACCCACCCTGCGGATCAATCACAGAAACCTCCAATTTGGCATGTCTCGTTGTTTCACATCCCCAGATTTTGATGCTCTCGACCGCCATGTTTCGACTGCAGTCGGACTGCGGTCGTTCATGTTGTGAAACGGGTTCCGCTGATTCTGACAGACGAAGCCCGAAGCGAGACAAAAATAGCGATGATGATCCATGATCCTTGGCCCGCGAAACCGAAATGATGCCTTTGCATGCTGTTCGATGGCTAGATGGTGGCTAGCATCAAGCCACCGCGGGTGAAACTTGACAAGTGTGTCCGAACTTTCAGGCTGGTCCCTACACGCAAATATCCTCCCTATCATCTAACCAAAGCGGATCTCCCAACCACGCAAACAGCGTGAAAAAGCCACCTTAAAAGCGGACTCTCCAAATCTGCATCCCCAAAAAAGTTGTCCAACCTTCAAAGAGATGTCCATCAGAGAGAAATGATGGAGGACCAGGGCGGCATCACACAGTCCGCCGGCATCTCACACGCAGCGTCCAAATCCGGGTGCCAGGGCAGGTCTGTCTCGGGACCCGGGATCAGGATCTGATGGTCGTCCAAGTTGTCGTAGATGGCGCCATACCTTGGATCGGAGAAATGGGTTGAGCTGACACGTGTTTGGGAGGGACCTTTGAGATCAGGATCTGAATCCAAGATTGGGAAACTGGTTTGTATTAATTGAGAACATCCAGTCGATGCACGAAGAAAAGCCTTTGAAAAAATATGGCTGGTCAAAAGTGTCCCCCCAAATGGATAGCATGTTGCTACATGTCCGAGCCGCTCTTCGTCGGACAGGTTGCAGAGGAAGAGATTGCAGCAGGCGCCATAGGGAGCCGTGGGTCGGGTGGCTTGGTCCAAGAGCTGTTCATAGATCGGGGTCTTCTGAAGCTGTCCCTTGGCATCTTTGAAGGCGACTCTTCGAAGCAGGTACTGATAGTCAATGCCCTTCTTAGGATCCCCATCCTGATAAGAAACTCTTAGAAAATCCTCGCCCACTCTGAAGGACACCTCCTTACCTTGCGGGTCCACCAAGTGATCCTTCTCATCCAAGAGGTAAATGAAGTCGTGTCCGCCTAAGTTGATCCACTTTCGATCTGGTGAGATGCGAACGCCTTGCCAACCGCCAGATTTGATGTTCATGATCACCGTGCCAAGCAAACCATTACCTGGCGATTCTGGTCACGTGTGCCAAAGATATACCACTGGGATCCTGTTGGCAGACGAGCACAAGCGCAACAATTCAAACTGCCATGGGCAGTTGCGAAGCATCGCAAATACTAAAAGGACATGATTGATCCCCGTTGCCACTGTTCGCTTCTTGATTCGATAAGGAAATGTTTTCTTGGCAAAGTAACATTGTCACAAACATTACACTGCCTTGAGCCTCCAACCAACGTAGTACCTGCGAGACCTGAAAGACTAGTTTCCGCTTGAAGCGACCCCCTGCCACATGCGAGACAAGAGCGCCAGTTTCCAGGCACGTTTTCCCGCAACTTTGCCCCCCCACCTGTGGTCCAATTCCTCAAGCAAGACTTCATGCCCACCTCTGGGTTGCGACCATCAGGCTTCCCCCAATGGGCAGATTCCCATGAGACCAAGGTCTCGTTGGCGATGTTGTCCTGTGAGAATTACCAGTTCTGTGATTCCAATAACCCTTCCAAATGCTGGCATGACAAGAATACGTTGGCCCCACAACCCTGGTCCTGCATCCACCAGACTCCTTTCAGAAGATCCGGGCAGAAATTCCCGCACTTCGGAGGCTCCAGCATCTTCAGGAACCATGCCTCAGGGTCCGAGATATAGACGTCTTGCATCTCATAGCCGTGCTTGTGGCGGATGTAACATCTCCAGCCCTCGGAAACACAGAATGGGAAACCAGCGCCGTACGGAGACCGGGGAGTGAAAAAATTGAAATTCCGCAGCTTCTTGACGTATGCAGGTTTCTTTTGAGGAGGGTCATAGGTCAGGATGTCAATGCCCTTCACCAACTCATTGTACTTATCCCAGTCGAATCCGCCATCGCTGGTGTAGCATTGAGCCATCAGCTAAGGTGAGAGTGGAATGTGCCAAATATCTCTTTGTTAGGGTCAAATGGCTGCAGGATGCATCCATGACTGGTGACAACAAGCTGCGCCACAATCTACAAATGGTAAGTAGAAAAATGCAATGACCAATCATGGACTGAAGTAGGGCGTCCTACTGCACAGCGCAATTCTCTGACGCGAGCGCCATCTGCCAACGCGCGTGCAGGGCACGTCGTCGGACATCCTGGCGCAAAGCCTACCCGACTCGGAAACCCTGCCGGCCGACCACCAAAGCACTACCGCCCCGGCATGCGGAACAGCAAGACGCTCCCGGCCGCGCTGGTCGACTTCAACGTCGACAAGCGGACCGACGTGACCTTCGGAACCGTGGCTGCAAGCAGGGTCCGCTCCAGGGAGGACATCTTGATCTTGAGGCGCGGGGCAAAGAAAAACAGGGAAGGGCAGGAAAGAAAAGCGTGGTCCCCGCCAGGCCGTTCGAGCGCTGGCTCTACACGCTCCGCGCCCGAGGGCCCGGCGCTCCTGCTGACTGGGGCGCGTTCAGGGAGGCGAGGGCGCCCTGCGCGGCCTGCGAGAAATGCAAGGAGACGAAGACGCTAGATCATTTTTCCGACCGTCAGTGGGAGCGCGTCCGAGCCAACCAATCTGCGATTTGCCTGGCCTGCGGCCCCGGCAAGGGCGAGCAGAAGACGCTGAAGCGGAAGCTGCCCTCCGGCCTGGCGCGCTTGGATTGCCGCGGCTGCAAACTCCGGAAGCTGGAGGACGCCTTCCCGCGGGCGCAGCTCCAGCAAGACGACTCTGAGCGGGCAAGCACGGGGAGCGCGACGATCGCAGGCACTTCCTTGCCTGCCAGCTGCTGCATCTCTCACACGCCTTCTGCCAACTGCAAAAGCAAAACCGGCCACGGGGGCCAGGCTGAGCTCAGCACGCGCTATGGCAGGGACAGCGCGCCTTGCGGAGGCAGGAAAGTTTCGCAAGTTCGGCAAGCGAACCAGCCGGCACGGCCCCACTTCGGTTGCTGCCTCGCGCTTTTCCCGCAGGGGCCGCAGACAGCCGCCCAAGGCATGGTCGCCATCGCGCTGCTGAATTCGGAAGCTGGCATCTTGCTCAAACAAGTCGAGCAGCTCAAACTCTCGACCTCCTCCAAACACTTCAAGCAGCGGCGCCTGGCCTCAGCCCTGGTGTTCACTGGCAGCACACCGTCCTATGTTCTAGCTGCTTGGAGTTCTGAGTTTTTGCTTGGGCCAAGCACGCGTCGCATCTGCGGCCTTGCAGCCGACCCTTCGGTCAGCCGACGTCCTTAGGTGGTCCGGCCTGCTTAGCGCCCCTGCCTGCGTCCCTACTCCCGGACTGAACCACCTTGAAAGGTGGCCCGGCGCTCCAACCGTCGGGAAGTCCTTGCTGCTTGCCCGTGCGACCGCGAGACTACGGCAGAGACCTAGTGTGGGGCGGCGCCCTGCAGGGTGTGACGGAACTGGAGGAGCGCGAGCGCTGCAAGGACGCCTGGTGGAACGAGGTCGCCCTGGCTGCCGTGGGCCGTGATCGCGTAGGCCGGCGCCAGCAGCAGCTGCGTCCGAGCGATCTTGAGCACCGGCTTCTTCCGCTTGGCGTCCAGCTTCCAGACATTGCGGACGGGGTAGACCGGGTAGAGGCCTGGCTCCGGCGCCCCAAGGTCGCCCCGTCAAACTTCACATAGACGCAAGTCGGCCGCAGGTCGTTCTCCTTCCAGACGGAGCTTGTCCTCGGAGCGATCGAAGACCACGCGCATCCGACCACAGCATGCCGGAGAGGTTCTCGGTGTCCCGGTCGTGATACTCCTGCTCGGCCGACGAAAGGCGGCTCACCCCCCCCCCCCCCCCTACGGCCCCCCCCGCCCCCCCACCACCCGCCAGGTTCGCGATCTTTCCCAACCCCGCTTCCCCTTAAGCCTGTGTGTGGAAGACCTCGGCGGAGGGGGCGTCCAGAGCCACGGACGACCCGGCCGCGCGGCGGTAGTCTTCCGCGCGGTCCTTGTTGATCTGGTATTTGGCGTCGTTGTTGGCAACGACGGCCGCCGCCCACCTAAATTTCTCTTTGCTCAAGCGCGGGTCGCCGGGCCCACCGACGACCCGGCGCCGGGACTCGCGCTCTGCCGCGGTCAGCCGGCAGCCTTCGACGGGCTTGCCGTGGAGGTAGCGCCAGTTCTGCTCCTAAGATTTCATGCATGTCGTGCATGCTCTGTCTTGTGAAGATCAGTAGGGGTTTGAGCCAAATGTGCTTGTATACGTTTTCCATTGCAGCTTTTGTACCAGGCTGCGCAAAGAGAAAAGAGCCCAATACACTAGCTGCCTGCCTCGGCTCGAGCTTTGGGGTTGGAAGGCCGTCCTTCGGCTAGCCCCGCACCAAGATTGTGAACACCACGACTTGGTGGTCTACTACCTCCCAGGACTGGCGTGACCAAGGCTGGTCCGACGCAAGGCCGCCAGCTCCACTGCCCGCCCGCGAGGCGTGGGACGCGCAGCCAAGCCGCACAGGAAAGGCGGCAGGACACAGGACAGCGTCGCCGCCTACAAGCTCAAGGGCCCGGGTTGACTGGTCACCCAGCCCTGGTCAACTTCCTTCACCACTGGAATTTCTCTGCAAGTCGAGCCCGTGCCGGCCGAGCCCACGAGAACAAAGGAGGAACCTTCCCCCACAT